CTACGAAAAACGATGATATTATTTCAGAATTCATTATTTTTGGGTTTATTAAACTTAAAATAACTTTTTTTATAGTTCCGATATCGAAAAAATAAAAACAGAATATCACAGACAATGTTCACCATTTAACTAATGAAAATTTATTTTCTTAGTTATAAGTGTAACGTTCTCGGTTCTTTCTCGCGCAAAACAGTTTTTGCTATGTTTTCATTTGTAAGACGCAGACAACATGTCATATGGGTGTTGCGTCCCTCTTAACAATAATTAATAATGTTCTAATTTTTGTTAATTATTTAATTTCATTACTATTTAATTGTGTATTGTCTTTTATTTCTTTACAAACAATGAAATTCCTTAATAATTATAGTTCTAGAACCGAGCTTGGTTATAAAATACCTACAGGTTTATTTTAATTTTTATTTGTGTATCATACAAAGAGTGATTGACAAAGGATTCATTATGCAAATTCTGATCTTTTTGGAATTTTAAAGTCGCACGAGATTTAGAACTCGAACGATCGTATAATAATGATATAGTCATACATATAGTGATGTACATGATATTACCGTTTACGTTAACCATCGCCTCGAAAGATTTTCGTCCAAAAGGATTGGACGCCATGCACTTATATTGACCACCGTCCGTTCTTTCCACTTTAGATATAATCAATGTATTGTTTTGTAATACCTGCAGTAAGTAGTATACTATGGATTAATATTTACAATATTTAACAATACAATAATTTGAAATATTATATTACCTACTCTAAATAATAAAAAGTAAAATAAACGATAAAAGTTAACTAGGTACTGACAATAGGTTAAATACGTCTTAAAAAAAGAATCAGGGAAATAGCGCTGCTGAAAATATATTGATAATAGCCAATAAGTAACGAGTGTTGTTCATAAAATATTATTCGTAACTTAACTTAACTAAAGTTATCTGACTTTGAAAGTTGGGGGTTAACATTTAATACCAGCTACTATCCTTTGTATTACGAATCTGATCATAATTGTCCACATAATCATTTTTACCTCTATGGTCTTTAGTCGTAAAACATTTGGTTTGTCAGAAAAACCCATATACTTGTAAATTAGCATATTATTTTTATTTTTTTTAAGTTTGTGCCATTTAAGGAAATAAAAAAAATATTTGCTACCCAATAAATGGATTTCCAGCCTAACACTAAAGATATAATTGTGATACAGGTGGTACTTTAAATACATACAATGTAAAATGAAAATCAAACCGATGTGGATTAGAAAACATTTTGAACAATTTTATTTAAAGGCACGAAGTTCTAATATTTATGGTTTTGTTTACCTATATATTATTTAAATGAAAAATATAGATTTTAACTATTTTTTTGTAATTTGTTATTCTTAGGGGGCTTATAACTTTTTCTTATTATGGTTATATTAATATTTAGAACTGACGGACTAAATTTCTCCAGCCCTCCTCTCACTATTTCAACAATGTGCATCATAACTGAAAGTTTGTAAGCAGTTTGTAAAGGGTTTTAAAAATAACATTTTCGTTCAGAAAACAAAAAAAAAATATTAAAAAATAAAAAAATAATCTAATGTTAATAAAAAAATTGACTATTAATAAACATCTAAATTCGTAAAAATTTAAAATTAAAAAAAATCAAAATTGATCAAAAATTTAAAAATTAAAAATCAAAATCGATTAAAAAAACCATGTTGATTAAAAAAATTGAAATTTATAAAAAAGACATGTTGAACAAAAATTCAAAATTGATAAAAAAATGAAGTTAAAATATCTAAATTGATAAAAAATTTACTATGAATAAAAATCTAAATCTATATAATAAATTCATTTATATATAATTGATAGATTTTAATATTTATATATTTATTATTATTTTATCCTAGTGAGTTACTTTTTTTATATTTTACCTAGTTATAAACTTTTTGAAATATGCTTTTTAAATAATAATCAGGGCTCGTAAGTTCATGCATCTGCATGTTTTTTTTTGCTACACAGGAAAACATGCTAACTGAGATACAAATCCGTTTCATAACAATAGTAATAATCAGGGCTCGTAAGTTCATGCATCTGCATGTTTTTTTTGCTACACAGGAAAACATGACTAACAACTGAGACACGCAAATCCGTTTCTTACAATAATAATAAAAAATAATATGAAGTTTGATAGTGCATGTTTTTGCATTTTTGGGTGTAAAAGTCATATTTGACATATATATAGTTGATTTTTTTAGAGTCGCTAGTGCATTATTTCATAAAAATCTTTTTAGACAAATATTTGAAAAGTTTCTTCCAATTTTTGATATCTTGGTCCAATTGCCCAATATCACATGGTAAATTATAACGGTTTTTTTAAATTTTTTATTGATTAATTATTTAGCTAATTAATAAAAATATCGAAAATCAAGCTACTTACGATTGTAAAAAAAGTTCTACTCTACAATTTTATAATAGTATTTTACTGTAAACCACTTCAATAAGCCGTATTACTTGAATTACGAAACCATGGTTTTATGGAATATTTTGTCTACTAGTGGAGCACTAGTACTCTTAAGTTGGAAAACATAAAAAAAAAACACTTATAAATATATATTACATTACTACGGATTATGCACTCAAATATTATGCATTATGTAAAAAAAAACATGACCAAATTTTAAAATAAAATAATAAGAATATATTATTTTAAATTTGGTCATGTTTTTTTTACATAATGCATATTTTGAGTGCATAATTTAAAAATGTTAATGCATATAAATGAATATTTTTGAACTTTCAAGTGCATATTTATGCATATTTTGACAATTTTTAGTGCATGAATGCATGCTTATTTATGCATTTTTAGTGCATGAAGTTACGATCCCTGATAATAATATATTAATATGAGTAATGGGGAAAACTTTGTGCAAAAGTAAAAATTTCTAACGTCAATAATAAAGTCCAACTAACTTTAAAAGTTGTCTATCAATATCTAACCAGTCATTATGAGTCGTTTGAGCGAAAAAAAAATGTTCTAACGAACTTTTGTACTGCTGCCGTGAAGTTAGCAGTGCAATAAATGAAAGTGGTCTAGCGTCAAAAATAAAGTCTTACAACTTTGAAATAACAATCTCTAACAACTCACTAACAAATTTGTAAGACTGTTTTAAAAGTTGACTGTTATCATTGCACTGCTAAGTTCACAAGGGTAGTAAACTGTATTCGTCGCATTCGTACTCAATATCATTTGTCATTTTTGGATACTTCAATAATCGATTGTTGAAGAAACTAAGAAAGTAGAATTATAATTATTATTTGTAACTTAGGTCACATGACATAATAAAAATATTATCATCACACGGCGTTTAAGACAGGCTTTTTCGATACACCGCTGACCCGTTGGTCTCTTTTTCCAGAATTTCATTACTTTGATTGATCGTTAAAACTTAAAATACACCAAAGTACCATGATATAAGTGAACGAGTAAAACTTTTTGTGCAAGTTAAATGTAATAGTTATTCAAATTAGTAATATAATAATATGTGAGTAATAAATATAGTATTTTATAGTATGACGAATATTTTAAGTGGGTCACTGTAATCGTAATGGATGGTGTTAAATTTGAAAAAAATGAACATTAAATGTTTATAAAAAAAAAACTGTGTCTAAGGATTTATAATATTTTTAAGCTGCTATTGTAACCATATATCAGGAGCCTTGTATTATATTTTCAAGCTTTTTTGCAAAACAGATAAAACATTTTGATATTCATGGAAAAAAAAAAAAAAATTTGAAATTTAAAATTGTCCGTAAACAGCTTAAAACGCTCGTAAAATTTTAATTTGATTTGCTTGTAGACATTTTTTTTTTTCATAAAGGTAGATAATCTTATAAGAAATCTTAAATTACATTTTCAAATTTTAGATTTAAAAAGAACATTTTTCTGAATTTCTAACTCAAAATAATTTGCACATTTTCGTGAATTTTAAGGATTTTTACTTTTGAACCCCCCAATGTACCAACTAGATTCACTTTCCTATCAGAAAAGATACAGTTGAAGGAATTCTAAGCAGGGTTACTGTCCTAAAAGGTGATGACATACACAAAAAAAAAACACGAATCTGTTCAGAATCTAAAAATTGTTTTTAGTGGTAAGCAAATTTTTCTAAACTGTTTTAACGAGAGATGTTCGAGCGAGATTTTGGTGGTGGGATTTTGTCCTAGATTCTATATAGGTTGAGGAGCAGGAGTTTAGTTGCATCAAATAGAAAATATTTGCAAGGGATGCTAAATTATTGGGAAAATTATTCCTAAAAAGTTTGAGTTTATGCAATGAATATAAAGTAAATAATTAATAGAACATTTTTAACAGCAGTGCACGATTATATATTAGCTGATTTTTCACCGGGCTTGAACAAAGGATTAATTACCGTATATCTTAAAATAATCTTACCTGAACTCTTTGGCCAAGTTCTAGATCGATGTCGTCTTTGGCCCACGTTATAAAAGGTTCCGGGTCTCCTAGGGCAATGCACGAAAGTTGTAACTGTTCACCGACCAACACCGTCTTGTTCTCTGGTACCACGATTATATCTGGAGCTGTATGCACAACAATATATATATAATACGTCAAAATCATCACATTATTAAATAAAACAACTCGTTCCCAACAACATCTGTCAAACCATTAAGGCAATACACACTTATAGGCGGCTGTATTAACAATAAATATAGGTACAGCACTGTTGCAGACAATATACTATGTAGATTATAGAATATAATATTATGTTATATATTTTATTTCTTCTTATAATTATTTTAATCAGAATCATTACTTACTGCAATTTAAATATTTGTCGGTTATTTCCTCCAACGAAATTAGGTAAATTTCTATGTTATATAGATAAAACGGGTCGCATCTCCCGGTGATGTCTAGAGTACCCTCAGTTAAACTTTTCTTCACAGCGTTTACAAACAACAGCATATTGCAATCGCACCTCAACGGGTTATCGTTAAGCTGTCTATAGAAGAAAGCATTAATGTTTTGTTTAGACATATATATAATTCAAACAATGAAAGTATAACAATTATTATAATACTAATAATATATATATTTAGGCAGTTTATGCTGACTTACAAACGACTCAACGACGTTATATGAATCGAATATCCCAGGTGGAATACTGCTTATCATATTGTTTCCCAAGGACCTATTTATAAAATATAAAATGTAACTTTCCGTCAGCTATACAATACGATCACATGAAAAATATGTTTAATACTTACAGTTTATTCAGTTTTGTAAGTCCCTTAAACATTTCCAAATCGAGCTTATGTATTTGGTTGTCATCCAAGTATAATTCATTCAAACTCGTTAAGTTATTAAAAACCCCAATCTCGATGTTTTCGATTTTATTTCCACTCAAGCGTCTAATAATTAAATAATTTATTATATAGATAATAATATGATATAAATAAATATATAATCACAAGCTATTTGTTAATTTATATTCTTACAAGAACTGAAGCTTCGAAAGGTTTGAAAATGCACCATTTTTCACTTCACTTATATTATTGTTGATCAAGTATCTGAAAATATTCATACATTCTGGATTCCATGCATTTAAAAGTGTTTATACTAGGTATATTATAACTCACAAGGTCTCTAACTCTGTAAGATGAGTAAATGATTTCGGTTCGATATCTCTGATTTTATTATAACTCAATGCCCTGGAATACAATACAATTTGTTTGTTGTCGTATATCCACTGGTATTAGGAGATGGTTTATGATTATAATTAATGAATAATGTTTATTTATACATTTAAAAGTGTAGACATTACAATATACTCACAAGAACTGTAACTTTGTCAGATGAGCTAATGATTCGATATCCCTGATTTCATTCTGGTTCAAATACCTGTAATAAAATATAATTTGTTTATTGTCGTATATCCGCTGGTATTATGAGATATTTTATGATTTTAATTAATGAATAATGTTTAATTTTACATTTAAAAGTGTAGACATTACAATATACTCACAAGGACCGTAACTCTGTAAGATAAGCTAATGATTCGATATCCCTGATTTTATTACGGTTCAAACCCCTGGAATACAATACAATTTGTTTAATTATTATCATACAAAATATATGATTATTTAATAATATTATTTACCCCACGTTTATGTAATTATTTTACTTGTTTTTCTACTCTTTTGTGCTTAGGTACTTACGGATATCAATCATGTGTAATATACCGATATAATTATGCACGTGTTATGGCTCTGGATATCATAAAAAGTTTTAATTTTCCCTAATAATATCATGTTCATTTTGGGACTTAAAAGTTAAAAAAATAAAACGTACGCAGAATTCAGTGTTCATGCACTGGGTAGTGTGACTACTATAATTATTGACTATGAAATATATTATGTTTTGAAAACACACATTTAATTTCCAGTGAAAACAGTGATCGTCTGAATCAAGGGGTCAAATTTATGTCCATCACTTAGTACTACAACCTCAAATCTAAACCTGGGCATAAATGAGTTAAAAAGTCAAAGTTAAGTTAATATTAACTTTGTAGTTTAACTTTTTCTAATTTAATTTCAATAAACTTAATTTTTGACTTAACTTATTTTAATTGATATAGACTTAATAAATATAGAGTTACTTTTAATCAAATTCAAGTTAAGTTAACTTATAAATAATTAAATTTTAAATATAATAAAAATAAAAATTATTATTGACGATACATATTATTACATCACAATTTACTAGAATTGGAAATTAGAAACACAGTTAAACTTATTAATTGTTCCATTAACAAGAATTTTTCAATAGAAATAACTTAATTAAACATATAGCAATAGCCGTGTAGATGTATGATATATATAAAGATATATCATACCATACTGTGGCATACTAATACAAATAATAGTAATTCATAAATACTAATAACTAATAAGTAATATCATATTATATTATTATATTGATCTAGATACAAATCACCAGTGTTCGGAACGTTCACGAAAAAAATGAACTCGTTCACGTTCACGTTCAGTCCTTCAAAAAGGAACTCGTTCACGTTCACGTTCGTGTTTTTTTAAACGAACGCGTTCACGTTCACGTTCTTTTAAAAAACGAACGCGTTCGATGGGTCGCGTTCATTTAATTTTTTTTTATGAATCGTTGGCCTGCCATGAATATAAAAATTAAAATCCCATAAACATATACGACTCAAACAAAAAATAAAAATACAATTTAGAGCATATAGGGGAAAGTGGGGCAGAACGGGGGGCCATGTGGCAAAACGGGGACATTTCAATATTTATGTCTTATAAGTTATAATGATCATACTGATTTAAAATTAAATTTAAAATATTCATAGATATTAAACATATTATGGATACGGCATAACACAAAAATCTGTATGCTAACATAATTCATACTATTATTAACCGCTAGATGCCGTATCCATATGTTTAATATCTATGGGTTTATTACGAATTCGTGGAAATCATAATATTATGTATGTCTAGCCGGGGACACTGGAATTGCCCGTTTTAATTTATATAGTTTGCAATCAAACGAATATTATAGGAATTATAATGGAAAAAATGAAAAAAATATAATTATATAATATAAGTAATTAATATATTTTATACATATAATATTATTAAATGGTAAATAAATTGAACGTCTTAAAAATTCATCAAATTCATCAAAAACTATAACGTCGTTCACTATATATGAACGTGACGCGTGAAACGTGCGTTCATGAACGACGTTCTTTCAAACACTGCAAATCACTAATGTACAATTCTCAAGAAAATAATATTATTAATATTTTCGACAAAATAAGTTATTTGTAATTAAAACCAATAGGTTTTGGTCATATATTGGCTATTTCCTGTGTTCAATCATATTTATGATTTTTATTATTTAAACCATATAATGGGTATTTACTATTTATATAGATATCAAAAAAAAAAAAATAATAATAATAATAACATAACCGAGTTAAAAAAAAAATGAACTGTTAACTTTAAACTTTTTAAAATTTTTTCTATCAACTTACCTTAACTCAGTTAAAAATTATCATTAACTTGCCCCAGCTTGCTCAAATCATACATCAATAATTTGTTCCGAATTATTGCTACTAAAGCTTGTTTTTTTACAAACCGGAAACAAACATATCAGTGCCTATATATGTATTTACGATATTTTTTTATAAATCGCTATAAGAAAGACTTCCCAAGAACCTTGTATTAAAAAGTAAATATCTTTGACCAATATTTTTTGGAAACCTGGGGTGCCGTTTTCGTTTAAACAAGAACGCTCCAGTTTTATATTATGAAAGTGAGGTAACAAAATATGCCTACATTTTTTTCCAATATTCCTTTTAATCAAAAATATGCTTGGCTTAGAATTTAAAAATGTGTGCATAAAATTTCAACTGTAAAACATATGTTGAATACTCAAATAGAAAAATATATTACGAATTTACTACATTGACCAAATACCTGGATATAGGTATCGGAATTTCGCTATTTAGATATTAGATCATAGTAAGTTATGTCATAGTAAGTAAGCGGGATTTATAAGTTTCCTTATTACTTATTTCAAACATTTCCGATATTTTGCTAGTTACTAACAGTTATTTTATAATTTATACTAATACTTTTATATTTTAAACACACCTTATAGTGTTTATAAACCTATCGTTACTCTTTGTCGTATATCCGCTGGTATTATGAGATATTTTATGATTTATTTCGCAGTTTTGTCGATTTTAGTATTTGATGGCTTAAATATTTCTTAGAACATGATACGCGTGTAGCTTTTATACGTCTTTAAACTGCAGGTATTTCGACTTACAGCACTTTGGTAGCCGGAGGTATGCGGACGGGTATCCGGTCCAGACCCTGGCCATGGCAGAAGACAGTCAGCTCTTCTTCGCACGAGCAATTGTCAGGGCACTCGGCGGTGACCGATGGAAACGACGACGAGGAGAACATCAACAGCAAAAGTAGCAGCACCATAGTCCTCCGTAAAACAGTTTCGGCGGCGTCCTGATGCATCGACCGAGTCATCGCTCGGACTGGTCGCAAAGCACACTACACAATCGCACTGGCCGCCGCTGCGTTACTTAATAGAAAATAATACACAATACTGAACGGGTTCGGCGCTACCGCGATCTGTGTTGTTAGCGTGTTTTTTTTTTTGTCGTTATTTAAATAGGCAACGATTACGAATAACATGCACGTTTTCCTGTTTGGATAACGTATGACATATAAACAATAAAGTAATCTATAATAAAAAAACCTAATCTATGCTACTTAATTATTAAAGCATATAATATATCTATACATAATTTATATTTTAATTAAATATTTATTTATTTATTTTTTAAATTATTGAAGGATTGTCGTGTTGTGCTACGAAATTCTTTTTTTTCTAAAGAGCTTAGCCCTTTTTTAAAGTAAACAGATAAACCGTCGTTCACTTAAGTACCCACATTTTACCTATTCTGCCTGTGGTAGATAGCGGACCCTGCGCTGTTTGTACGTAACTTTATAATTTAACTCAAAAGTATCAAAGTTATACCAATTATGTTACTAAACTCCTCCTAAACGGCTGCACTAATTGTGAATGCCGAGTCTATCGATCAATATTTTAGTTCAAATATTGACAAAATATGTAAAAATGACAAAAATTTCATCATTAAACCTTAAATAACCATCATGGAATTATTAGGGTTCAAAATAACTAATAAAATACATTTTAGAAATTACTGAAAAAAATCTGTTTTTTTTAAATTATACAATGTTGAATGTACAATACAATATGAACTCCAATAATGCTTTTAAAACAAAACAAAAAAAGTGTCAATGTGTCTTCGATATTTTTTTATTGGCATAGGGCAGAGATGGTTTGGTTACGTTAGCAATCCGTTGCAGACAAACAATCAATTTAAATACTTATTAGTAATTATTTAGTCAACTAAGTCTTTGTTTATTTTAAGTACAGTATTAATATAGAGTATTTTTGTTTGTTTATAATACAATGTTTGTTATTATTTTTTTTTTATTTTTTTTTTGTTATGTTATTCGAATTAAAATACTAGAAAATGATGTTTATTGTTACTCCCTGCACCACCACAAGCTTAGCTTAAAGGTGTAGGTAATTTTTTTATTATTTCTAAATACTTTGTACAATTTGTGTTTTTCAAATAATAAAAAAAAATCTTTCAATTCTTTCAATTCATTATATTTTTAATAATAAATAAGTAATAAAATCATTTTTAGATTCTGAGCGGAGCGAGGCATATTGTATTGATTTTACAATGATATTATTGACTTGTGTTTTTTTTTTGTAAATTTAAGATGTAATGTAAGGGTTATCTTTGGTTGTACTCACTAAAAATTATCAAAATTCACGAATTTTTCATGAACTTCGTCAAAATCAAGACAAAATGTTATATTATTTTGAAATTAAAAATGCATACAATTAATAATTTATATACCTAAGATTTTAAAATTAGAATATAAAACAATGTTCTATATAATTTTTTTCTTATAAGTATTGCAAAAAAAATAATCTAATTTAAATAAACCTTTTGTACGAGCGTATGAAGTTTAAATTTTTACGAGATTGGAATTTTCTAGTAAAATAACGATTTTAAATGTTTACTTTTTAAAGTAAGAACTCAAATCTTCAGAACATCTAACTTAGTGATATATAGATATGAGCATTTTTTTTAATAGTATTATTGACTAAGATTCAATTAGATATTTTTTTATAATTTTATAATTATTAGCTATTATTTTTGTTTAATATCTGCTGTGTATTTATTAAAAAAAAATTTAAAAGTTACAGCGATAACAATTTATAGAACTAGGATTTTTATAATTATTTAATGTAATGTAATTTTCTGTTTTATACTTAGTGGTTATACCTATTATATGATTACATAATTATTACCGACTTTTTACCCCCAAGACTTTTTACCCCGAAACTTTTTTTCCTACCATCAAATCTGTTATCACTTCATTTTTATAAAATAAATTAAATATTTTGTTCACTGTGACTGTGGTAAATAACTCAATTTTAATATCGAGTGCTGAATACTTTATTTTCATTGTTCATTGACAGATTTGCGGCTGGTAAAAAAAGAACCATACAAATTTAATGTTACTCAAATAAATTATTAATACATTTTTTTATTTAATATTGAATAAAAGACTTGAATTTTTATACGGTTTAATTTTATATATATATAACAGATGTTTATTGACTAATATATGTATATATTTAAATTCTATGATACCAATTTGCCCCTCACCTTTAATGAGCTTCAGATCAGATACTGATGTGTAGGTGGTTGCCATAACGTGTCGTATTCACAAAAACGAAAAATGAGCACTGAAAATAGGAATAGGTGTTCAACAATAATATTATATTACATACACAATAGTTATTTGTGTCTGTTGAATTCTATTAGAGTTTTTTTTTGTTTTAAGCAGTGCTCCAAATGGGGAGGGGAAAGCAGGGGGATGGAGCTCGGGAACGGCAGTCAACTTGTTAAAATAATATTGTATTTTTTATTTCGTGTCTTCGTAAAGATGTAGTACCTATTTAAAATAAGATAACCCAGTGCTCGAACTGGGAAAAATTAAGTAGAGGAGCTCAAACCAACGATTTAAAAACTAAAGGGCTCAATTATTCAACCCATACCCTTGGGGGTTTTGCCCCCCCCACCTTACTACCTTACATTAATTTTGCATACCACTTTTAAGCAGCACATTTTGAATTCCCCCCGTCCAAGTAAAAAAAAATAGTACGGGTACCTACTCAAAAAAAAAAAAAATATAAATAGTATTGGAGCCCCGTCCCAATGCTCAGACCCCCACCAATTCGAGCACTGGGTATACTTACTTTAAATCTAAGCAAACTTGTTTTTAGTGTTGTGATGTTCTTTAAGTAAAGGAAGTTTCTATGAGCACAGTTAACGATTGAAATTGTATAAATATTTTGAAAATCAAATATTTTTTTTTAAAATACCCACATTTAAAAATTCAAAATAATTATTTGTCTCGGTTTAGGTTTTTATTTGATAATTATTATATTATTTTAGTTATAATAAATTAAAATCAAATTATTAAATTGTTGATTTATTGTTTAATTAATATTACATTTTGTATACCTATATCAATATCATATTTTCGTTTTTCGATATAAAATGAAGGAGGTAGGTAGTATAAAGTTTTAAATGTTGACATCACAACTTTATATTAGTATAATTACGAAATAGGAATTATACTTGAATTCAATACATTTTGAAAATGTTATCAAGTATAGATTGATATAAATTTCAAGTGTTTATAATTATTTGTTTTTGAATTACAACAACATATGAAAATCACTACTTGAGATATCGATTGAATATCCAATGTGAACTCCAAACTCTCTTAAATATTTAATTTTAATTTCGTATACACATTTATTTATTTTTTTTGAGAAATTTAGATAACCTTGGAAGGAATTTTGTATTATATTATAAAATAGATTGAAGCAACGAATAAATTTAATATGTTGATATTTATAGAAAAAAATTTAAAAAAGTAGAAACTTAATTTGTTCACAAGAAGCTCAAAGCAAGTCAAAATGTGTATAGAAAATGCTAATATAAACATTCAGTAAAAACTGCTTGTATTATTGATGTCCTTATCAAAATTGATTTATAACTTTTAAGTAATAAATCATTATTGTTAGGTATTATTATTTTTATTTACATATTTTTGGCATCTTTGTACAATGAGGTAATTATTTAGTTGATTTAAATACTTGTAAGTACCTATACATTTCCAGATACCACCTAGAACTATTGATTACAATTATTTACAAGTTAAAATTTTTTAATGAACTCATGATACTCAAAATTATTTTTTATATTTTTTCATTTCAATTTTTAATCATAAAATATCATGATAACTGATAGTCGATAAATAGGCTGTAGTCAATTTGCACCAAAATTGACCCAAAAATCTATAAAACCTGTGTAATTTGCACCAAAATAAGGGTAAGTAATTTGCACCACCCTCAGGTAGTAAGAAATAGGAATTGTAATTTGCACCAAAATTAAAATCGATTACTTTTTCGATAGTATACAAAAAAATTTGGTCGATAGTACCAACTTACAAGTTTCTATATCCTAATATAACTTAAGCTGAGTTTTTATCTATAAAATAGCTGGTCAAATTTTCACCTGTAGTAAACAATTTTGATGAACATTTTCTTTGTGTACAACGCCAACGAATTAAATTTGTAGTTTTTGTTTTATATGCAAAATAAAAAGTATGGTTATCGTATTCTTAAATATCTTCCCCGCGATTACTTTTAATTAACTTAACTTCCATATTTCAAGAAAAAAATTAAAATATTTGCAATAAAAAAATGTTACGTTAAATTACGTATTACGACGAAACAGCAAGACTAAACGTATAGCTTAGTAGGTAAATATATTTGATCAAAATAATAAACTGATATACATTATATAAATATATATATAACTCGATATAATGCGATTACGACCGACAATTGGACGTAAAACGTCAAAATATTACCAGATAAGGTGAAAAATCCCGAAAAATTATTATTGTCATTCGTGTTCATCTAGTCTTGACGTCGCGTCAACGAGGATATCGAGTAATAACACTATTGATACTAATGATACTATCGAAAAAATAATCGATTTTAATTTTGGTGCAAATTACAATTCCTATTTCTTACTACCTGAGGGTGGTGCAAATTACATACCGTTATTTTGGTACAAATTACAAACACTACTTTCGACTACCTGGAGTGGTGCAAATTACATATCTTTGATTTGGTGCAAATTACAAACTCCCGATAAATAACGATTGTTGAAGTATTCAGAGGACATAAAATAAAAACAACATATTAAAAAATATAATAAATTATAAGGGAAAAGGTAATACGTAATCTAACAAAAAAAGTAACATTCAAGGTAGACATGCAAGTATGTACACTATATATATATATAGGTATACGAATATATAAGACGTATATT